AAAAAAAGCGCGGGGCCCCATTCCACTGAACCGGCCGAATCGGCTTAAAGCCAGCCCTGGAGCTACGCTCCAGCTTTTAAACAGACAACAGCCCCTTGTTGTGCCAGACCCCTAGGAGTCCCACGCTTTCTTTAGGGTAGGCCACGTGGCCTCAAAGCTTCTTAGATAGCTTCTGGGCTCCATCTTTCCTGTTGCTCACCAGGAGGTCTGCTCAGTGAGTCCAACTGAGAGAGACGCCTTTCCCCGCTTCAGGGATCATTGCATCTCAGCAAGTGGGGAAGGTCTCTGGTCCAGTGCAGACAGGAGGTCAGGCTAGATTAGTGGTTTTCAAACCAGGGGTCACGACTCAGAACTGGGTCACAGAATGAAAGGGTCTGGGTCGCGCTGGCTTTGGTCAGGACCAGGCCGTTAAAAGTCCTGGTGGCGGTGGTGCCAAGCTCAGGCAGGCTAGTCCCTACCTGTTCTGACACCGCGCTGCGCCCCGGATGCGGCCAGCAGCAGGTCTGACTTCTAGGCAGGGCGGGGGGCATGGGGCTCCACGCGCTGCCCCCGTCCCGAGCACCAGCTCCGCACTCCCATTGGCTGGTTCTCGGCCAATGGGAGCTGGGGGGAAGAGGCGGTGCCTGTGGGCGAGAGCTGCACAGAGCTGTTTGCGCACTTCCACCTAGGAGCCGGACCTGCTGCTGGCTGCTTCCAGGGTGCAGCGCGGTCCACGGTGCCAGGACAGGCACGAAGCCTGCCTTAGCACCCCCGCTGCACCGCTGACATGGAGCTGACGGAGGTAGGTCTGCCACCCAACCCTGCACCCCAATCCCCTGCCCCAGCCCTGAGCCCCCACAAATCTGGTGCCTCTTCCTGCACCCCAAACCCTGCATCCCTGGCCCCACCCCAGAGCCTGCACCGCCATCCCAGAACCCCCTCTCACACCCTGAAGCCCTCATTCCCAGCCCTCACCCCTGCACCCCAACCCTGAGCCCCTCCCAAACCCCTCATCCCCAGCTCCATTGGGTTGCGGGCATCAAAAATTTTCTTCAACTGGGTCACCAGAAAAAAAGTTTGAAAACCACCGATCTAGATGATCACACTGATCCCTTCTGGCCTTGGACTCTACAAAGCATTTGCAGTAACCCCAGGCAGCCTGGATGGATTAGCCAGTTGGAACACAGCATCGGGATGTCCTGGTTAGCATAGTCCATACTGGCTCTGTCCCTTTGTTTCTCCGTCCCAGGTGAGAGCTGCTGTGTCGGTCCAAAGGCCAGCTCTTAATCCAGCCAGCTGCCCCCTTTGTTCTCCAGCTCAGGGCCTTTGCTCTGCTTCCCTGCAGCCAGGTGGGGGGAAAACCTCCTTCATCTTGGTTGGTTGCTAGGTGCGAATGTCCCAGCCATGGTATTCCCATTGTCTTTGCAGATCCTTCATTGATAGGGGTCCTTTCAGCCAGTGCTCTAACAATCCACCCATTCATCCCTTCTCTGACCATACTGGGAGGGGAGAGACACACCTCATGTCTCCCGCTCTGCCCCACTGCAGCTGCTTAACCCTTCTGTACCCACTGGGTAGCAACTCCTGATCAAGTAAGTCATGGCCAAGTGTATCATTCATAACAATATGATGTCTGACAAAGTGGGTATTCACCCACGAAAGCGCATGCTCCAATACGTCTGTAAGGTGCCACAGGACTCTGTCGCTTTTTACAGATCCAGACGAAGACGGCTACCCCTCTGATACGTAACAATATTACAAAAACTTCCCACTGCAGTACAGCAGCACCCTGCCACGTGCTTTGGCCTGAAGTTGAACTAGGCCTGGGGAAATATTTTGGATGGGATGCAAATTCTTCATTCATCCGTTTGTCCAGGGTAGCAATCATAGAGGTGGCCCCAGAAGTAGTTACACACAAACCCAGGGATAACATGGAGCAGCGTGTTATTGGGGCCCAGTGCAGGCCACACCCAACAGTTACCTCCAAGGGAATGAAGCAACTCCCACAGGTCAGGGAAGGACCCTCCTCCAAGCATCTCCTGCAAGGGGCTCTGGCCCATGGACATGCACAGCGTGTGCTTCCCTGTATATGCTCTGCTCAGCGCAATGGGGCTGTGGGGGCCTGGCGAGCTATGCAAGTGCTGGCAGGGTGGTGGGGAAGCTGGGCCCTGGGGCGGGAGAGGGGGTCTGTCAGAGTGGGTAGGAATCCTCCAGGGAAGGGAGCATGTGGGGGGAGCCCGTGGGTCCCTTTGTTATTCCTGTCCGTTCCCATCCCAGTGATAGGGGATTGTGCAGTGTGACCTCGCTTTCCCTCACAGGGGCAGGCTGCGTTTCAATAAGGTGCCTCTTCTGAGGGGATCTCTCTCTTGCACTCTGGGGGGGGGTTGGTGTGCGGAGGGACAGTCCGGTCTCTCCCCTGCCCTGCCTGCAGCACGGCCACTCCTCTCTGGGCTCAGACTGCGCTCAGTGGGGCGAGATGAGGGCGGGGGGCTGGCAGTGGGCAAGGTCCAGGGGTGTAAATCGTATGGGGGGAGTAGGGACCTGTGCAGGCAGAGCCAGTTGCCGTGGGAGTGCACTGCTTCAATGGGGCTCAGTGCGGGTGGATCCGAGCCCAAGCGCCGGCACCAGGAAATGCGAAGAGATGCCAATTTGAAAGCGCCCTTGATGAGGGCGGCTGATTCCAGAGGATGCTCGTTTACTCATCTCCCATTCGCGGTGTATGTTCAATGTTATGTTCCTGCTTAATGTAATCCACAAGTTCTCTGGGTACCCGCTAATGGAGGGAGCCCTCATGGGCTGTTGCCTTTTCCAGCTCTGATTTCAGAGATTCCCAGGGGGTAAGGGCAAAAGGAACCACCATGATCATCTAGTCTGACCTGCATTTTGCAGGCCACAGAATCTCACTCAGGGATTCCTGCATCCTGCCCAGCAACCGGTGGTTGACTAGACTGTGTCTGTTAGAACGAGACCCGCCCCCCCCCATCCCTCCCCAGACTGGATTTAAAGACCCCACGTGATGGAGAATCCACCAGGACCGTAGCTAAATTGTTCCAATGGTTAATTAATCTCACTGTTAAAAAAACCTGCACCCTTTTCCTAGCCTGAATGGGTCTCATCCTGCCTGTTTGATTGCAGTGATTCGCGCTTGGCAAGTGAGAGGCGAGCGTCTCGGGGATCCCCCACCCCACCCCAGCTGAGTGGCACGCCAGCCATTGTAGAGTCCCTTTGTGCAGTGCCATAGGGGTGGGTGTGTGGTGCCTTAGAAATATAAATGGGTGATGTTAGCCCTGGGAGTTTGCACTGCCAGCAGGGCCGGCTCCAGGGTTTTTGCAGCCCCAAGCAGAAAAAAGCTGCGATCTGCAGCTCTACCACCCCCGCTTCAGTCTTCGGCGGCAATTCAGCGGCGGGTCCTTCGCTCCGAGAGCGAGTGAGGGACCTGCCACCGAATTGCCCCTGAAGAGCCCGATGTGCCGCCCCTCACCGTTGGCCGCCCCAAGCAGCTGCTTGCTGGGCTGGTGCCAGGGCCCCAGGGGGTGATGCCAGTTTGGCTGTTGATGCCAAAAAAGGCGCAGGATTAGGGTCTGAATTCCAGCCCCAGTGCTCTGTGCGGCCCTCCGAGTCCCATGCGAGGGGGAGCGGGAGAAGCAAGTGCTAACAAAAAGGAGGTACAAAGTGTCCCAGCGGAAGTCCAACTGGCTGGTCTGTGACTCTGGCAAGCCCCCAGTCATGGGAACCCTTCCTGCCAGAACCCAGCCGGTAAAGGACAAGCTCAGCGTTCATGGTAACAGCCAAGTTTCTAGGCCTTGGCTTTCTGGGAAGCCTGGGAACGGTGAACCCCCAGCTAGGGCTGAGCCATTGTCCGTGATGGCGCCCAAACATCACAGGCTGCTCGTGGGAGGGAGCTCGTGCTGAGACCGTGTCTTGGGGACAGGGAGTTTAGGGATTTCCCCACACCCAGCCCGGCTCCCCCTCCCTCTCTGACCCTCATGCCGCCCAACTTCCCCTGTCCGCCCTGCCCCCGCCCCCCGCCCCCGGGGTGCCCGGGAGGGAGCTGCCCGGAGCGCGTAGGGCGCACGGACCGGGCACCCCTGGCCCAGCGGCGGCAGCACAGGCTCCCCCGCCCCCCGTCCCTCCCCCCGCGCCGCAGCTCCCTGCCGGGCCGGGCTGCCGGGGGCTCAGTGCAGCGCCGCCAGCTCCTCATGCTGCTGCCAGCGGCAGGGACCAGCCTCTCCGCAGCCGGCTCCGTGCGCCCCGGGACGGCACCATGAACAGCCTCCCCGCCGACAAGGAGAGCGGCCCGGCCGAGCCCAGCCTGCCCGAGGAGGAGGTACCTGCCGGGCTCGGGGCAAAGGGGGTAGTGGGACCCGCGGGGAGCAGGACAGGGAGCTTGGGGGGCGGAGGGGAAGCGGGGTAGGAGGAGCCGAAGGGGAGCGGGCAGGAGGGTAAGGAGGGGCCGGAGGGAGCGGGGTAGGGGGACCCGGAGGGGCGCGGGGTAGAGGGGACAGGGGGAGCGGTGCCCGGAGGGGCGCGGGGCAGAGAGGACAGGGGGAGCGGGGCAGGGGAGCGGTGCCCGGAGGGGCGCGGGGCAGAGGGGACAGGGGGAGCGGTGCCCGGAGGGGCGCGGGGCAGAGGGGACAGGGGGAGCGGAGCCCGGAGGGGCGCGGGTCAGAGGGGACAGGGGGAGCGGTGCCCGGAGGGGCGCGGGGCA